GAATAAAAATGTAAGGAGTAAAAAAGTATGTTTCTTTTAGAAACGTAATTGAGTAAAAATGCAAGTACTCACTGAATACTTGTACAGATATATATACACAAATCTTCCAAAATAATACTTAAGTACAGTATAATTACTTATTTTTAACCTTGCTGCTAATGTGGCTAAGAGTGAAAGTTAGCATGATGTTATTTGCACAATGCTAATTGGTGGGTGTTCATTTTCAGTTACTGTTAGCAACATTAGCCTTTTTTGCCTGAACTATTTCTTAGACAGTGAGGTTTCAAAGTGAATTTTGGCCTAGCTGCTCCAGGCTAGCGTAGCAGTGGGATTCTATCAAAGGGATTTCAAACAAAGGGCTCATGCGTTCCTAGCCCCTGGCTTAGCACCCCTGTTTGCACTTCAAACGGGATCTTCCCTCATTTGGCCCACTGGCTGACACGAACAATGAAGTGTGGGACAACAATAATTCCCGCTCACGGTTATCCCGCAGCACGCTAGCGCTAAGAACTTTACCCATAATTTGACACATGTTTCTTGTCAAGTTGCTCTTCCTTCATTCAGTCAAAAGCCTAAGGTGCTCTAACAAAGACAGCATCCTGAGTGGATGTGGGTAGACGGTTAGACAGCTAACACGTTAGCGCTAGGAAGTTTACCCATAATTTGACTCTGGTCAGGTCACTTTTCACACAGATTAAACTGCACACAGTCATTCTTTACTATCAGTCTTGGTGACTCAGAGTAGGTACTTCATTACTGATTTAATACTGTCCTCCTGGTGTTTTACTTTGAGAGGGAAATTCCTATGAATGCAGATGCAATGAGGTAAAAGCGCAAAACAGCAGTGACCACCACTACCGTCACTTATTTACCTCAAAATATAGTTTGCAACATTAATAAATCTCCCCTATGAATCCAGAGACAAAACAGTGTCCTGACCGGATGTGGGGAGCCCACTGCTGACCTCTAATAAATCGCAAAAAAGCTAGCTACATGGGTGCAACCATATATATATATACGTACCTAGATGCCGCATTGCCTGCTGTTCTCTATCTGAGGCGATACGTCTGCGCGTCCACCATGTTGGAGAGGTCACGGTCCGCTTATGTACAAATTCACTTGTATTGAGAGACGATGAGTCTCAGGATTAAATCAGCCACAACTTCCTTATTACTCAACCCATTTTCACCAAATTTGTTTTGTTATAATCCTCAGACATGGATTAATCTAGGCTGCATGGACTGCTCTCGCTAGCTTTTATTTATTTAATAACTGATCGTTCTAATTAGCCATCTGGACCAGCAGGAAAGTTTTCAGTCAGTTTAGCGTGAGACTCAATCTCACAACCAGCAAATCCATCAATGTGTGAATCACTTCTAATCTTAATACACATAAAAATAAAATAAACCCCCCCCAAAACACAGCAAGAAGGACGAAGCTGAAGTTGGCTTCCTATCCGCCAGCTTCTTGTTCGAATTTTCCCATTCCACCTTAAATGGTGCATCAGCCAGCTTTGCTGGAGCAGCCAGCTGCACCATTTAAGGTGGAATGGGAAAATTCGAACAAGAAGCTGGCAAATAGAAGCTAAATTCAGGGTTGTGTAAGAAGGTGCTAACGTTAATCTATTATGAATATCTTCACAGACTAAGGAATGCTATAACTTACCGCTACAAAGCTTTAACCATCATTGTAAATAACTACTACATAAGGTTAAGACCCCCTGAATAGACCATTAGATGAAATGCTGAGTCAATATTCTTGAAATAGTATAATTTTGGACATTATCTTTCTTAAACTGCCGCTCTGTAATGGTACTGAATGCAGTCCAGCAGCGATGTTGACCGCCCTCAGATGGCGGAGCCGCTGACGTGACTGGCTGGACCCAATGCAGCATCTAGGTATATATATCTATGGGGGCAACCACTGAGAGATGATGAGTCTCAGGATTAAATCGGCCACAACTTCCTTATTGCTCAACCGATTTTCACCAAATTTGTTTTGTTATAATCCTCAGACACAGATTAATCTAGGCTGCACTGACCGCTCTCGGTAGCTTTTATTTCTTTAATCACTGATCGTGCTAATTGGCCGTCCAGACCACGTGAGTTTAGTTCTCCAATTGAAACACAATCAGCAAATCCAGCAATGTGTGAATCACTTCTAATCTTTATACACAGAAGGACAAAGCTAAATTGGCTTCCTATTCACCAGCTTCTTGTTCGAGTTTTCCCGTTCCACCTTAAATGGTGCAGCAGTCACTTTCTGGTGCCTGAAGCTGCACCATTTAAGGTGGAACGGGAAAATTCAAGCAAGATGCTGGGAATAAGAAGCTATAACTTCAGGTTCGTGTAAGACGGTGCTAACGTTAATCTATTATGAATATCTACACGGATTAAGGAATGCTATAACTTACCACTACAAAGCTTTAACCATTGTAAATAAATAACTACTACATAAAGTTAAGATCCCCTGAATAGACTATTAAATGAAATAAGCTTAATAGAAAACCAGAGGAAAAACAATCACATCAACAGGTTCTCTGTGCTTCACCAACCACACAGCCATATCTATAAACATCACACAATACGCCTCACACAAACGTGAGTGTGGATCACTGTGTTCCCTCCGTTATATAATCCTATCCTGCTTTCTGAGTCGATATTCCTGAAACAGTATAATTTTGGACAGTATCTTAATTAAACTGCTGCTCTGTAATGGTACTGAATGCAGTCCAGCAGCGATGTTGACCTCCTCAAAATGGCGGAGCTGCTGACGTGCCTGGCTGGACCCGATGCAGCATCTAGGTATGTATATCTATGGGTGCAACAAGCAGAGCTAGCATTCGCATTAGCCTTAGCCGCTAAGAAGAACAGCGAGAAATAGAGGCGCGCCTCGTGGGGCTGAGCCACATAAAATATTCATGTTCCTCCATCAGAGGAGACGGCGATGAACGCACACACTCTCTCCAGAACGGCCCACAGACGGAGAGCAGATACGCACTCGCTCACTCTCTCATTCCTTCTCTGTTTTGACTCTTTTATCTCCAGGACTCTCCCTTTAAAGTCTCCAGCTCAGATGCTGCAGTAATGTTGCATATTGTTTCATCTTCTCTTCACAAAGTCCTTGGCGAAAGGTTGCCTTCAGAGAGATGGGGTAGCGTTAGCATTAGCATTAGCCTCCTCTGTGATCAAAGCTTTTTCAGCAGCTTCCTGGAGGCCCAACTGAAAAAAAGGACCATTAGAAACCAATAGGATTAAAATGGTTTTGCTTTCTAATGGGAATTGGCTTGGTTTCCAATAGAGACCACTAGTTTCCTGCAGATCACCTTTAGATCCCATTAGGAAACCATCAAATGCATTTAGAATCAGCCTTTGGTCACCTGTTAAACCATTAGGATCCTTTATATTTGGCTTTGTTTACATGCGAAGATTTTGGCCGATTCGATTGAATTCATTCTGATTATAGATTAAGACTGAACTCTACAGGAAAGTAGATCTCCAGGAGGTGATTTGGTCACCACTGCTTTACAGGCTGACTGAAACAGCTGAACCTGATATTGTGACAGTTTTAATGGCTCTATCTGTAACCCAGACTACTTTTTTGGCGTAAGGAATGCCAGTTTTAAAGCACATTTGCTTCAAGTTGTGATGCTTAAATAGAAGCTAATGTAGCTGTTTTCTGTTTTTGTGTGTGGTAAAGCAGCAGGGCTCAGCGAAATGATGCTGTTATTTGTGGGTAGAACTTCAACATATCAGATTGTGTGTGGTCAGAACTGCTGTATAATTTTTAGCAGGTAATCATTAATCTGTGGTGGAATACATTTTTATAGTAACCCTCCCAGCCCTGACTATAATTTGAATTGGCCTAGTGCTGGAGTTGAGACTCAAATGTTAAGAAGAGCCATTTTGTCCTTTCAACAAAAATCAAGCCACCTTGGGAGCCACAACATTTTATGTCCCTTTTACCATCTTGGCTGTAAATATGTCTCAGTATGTGCTAATATAAACGAAATATATAATATAAATTTAAGAAAACACAGGCTTACTTAGCTCAGCTACAGCCGCTTTTCTCGCATCTCCGGCAGGAAATTTTTTCACAAGTTGAATACTTTCATGTAAAATGTCTCTCTGTGTTTGATTTTTTCCGAGGATGAAGTCGCTTCTCATTCGTCGAATTCTTTTTCGAATTTTCCCGTTCCACCTTAAATGGTGCCTGAGGCGCTAGAATGCAACTGCTGCTCTATTTAAGGTGGAACGGAAAAATTTGAACAAAAAGCTGTTGAATGAGAAACTTCAGTCTCATGACTTTTTAGTGTTTGTCAGTTTCTCGTTGCAGATTAAACGTATCAGGAAACCAGCTGGAGTGATTATAAACGCAAATAAGTCCATTCGTCTCCAAATTATTGATGTTCGTCTTAAATCTCTCTCCTTGCCGCTTCGTTAGCTACTAGCTAGATTAGATTGTTATCTGTGTTGCTATGGTGACCAGCAGTCTGCGCTGATCTTCAGGGTTAAAGTGTGAATCAGCAGTTCTACATTAATTCCAGAGTTTAACACCATTTACTGTTAAACTGTGTTGAACGATCAGCAGAGCTTTATTTTACTGTAAAGGAGGATTATTTTATTTTTACCTACAAATCTGATTCTGCTGCAACATGGCAGTAAAAGAGCCGCATGTTGCTGAGCCCTGGCCAAGGCTTTCTCTATAGGCTAGCTAATGTTAAATGTGGCAATGCAGCACAGCACATAAACAAAACAGCATCCACTCATCCCCCAAAGCAGTGAGCCATCTGGCATTTTGAGAACGGCATTATCTCCCTATTTGCAACAGGGTGCTCTAACCTTTTGGAGATTTAATATCGGTTTCAGAATTGTGGTAAACTCGGCCTTTATGCTTCTGTAGCAAGATCTAAGGATGACTAATATCGTTCATTTCCCCACAGAAAAGCAAGCTTATGACTTCAGACCTGATTGAAAATGGACAAAAATGCTCCCACTCACCCACAGTGCCCAGCGCAACGTAGCCGAAGATGACAATGATGAAGAGCACACAGCACAGTACGTCTGTGCAGCTTCTGTAAAAGAGCAGAGGAGAGAGGGAGTGAGGAAGATGGAGAGTGCACATCTTCATCATTCAGGAGCCCACAGGAGGAGAGAGGGTTTGAAAGAGAATGAAGCAATCATAGTTCATATAATGCCATTTTTGATTGCTCACAGACTACATTAAATGCCTCTATAAATTATTAATTACATCACGCAGCTCGACTATGCAGCCATTTCTTGTAGATGGGAAGAAAAGATGAAGGTTTAAGTTACTTCAGAAATAATCAAAAAGGGTTTATCCCTGTGATTGCAGTCTGACTAGGATCTCAGCAAAGAATTTATGATTGCGCAAAAGTCCAAGACCACGATGCATTTATTTAATTTGCAGTCAAATCGCTATGGCTCTGAAAGGATGTGTAGCTGTCATGAGAATTGTTCACAGTGGTGGTGACTGGAACCAGAGTCTGAAGAGTCTAACGGTATTTTTATTTAGACATTTTGATGTATGTCTCATTGTTTGATAGTTTTAAGAAGGTTTTGGCCTTAAAAGTATTTTCAATATATATTAATGGCCAATAGGTACTTCCATAACATTGTAAGGCAAAATATTCCCCAAAGATTTTTTTTAACCTATTTTGCTATTATTAACATTAGATATAAAAACTCAGAAGACATGCAGGTTCACTGGTGGTTTCGGATAGTAAAAAAGGGCTACATTTATGTTGTAGACACAGGGACTCAACCATTTTGATGAAAGTCTAAATAAAAATGTAAGGAGTAAAAAGTATGTTTCTTTTAGGAATGTAATTGAGTAAAAGTACAAGTATTCCATTTAAGTACAAATACAAATACAAAAGTACAAATCTTCCAAAATAACACTAAAGTTTAATATAATTACTTACTTTCAACCCTGATGCTAATGTGGCTAAGGGTGGAAGTCAGCATGATGTTATTTGCACAGTGCAAATTGGTGGGTGTTCATTTTCATTTACTGTCAACAACATTAGCTTTTTTGCCTGTACTATTTCTTAATCTTTAAGGAAAAGGAAACAGACAAGAATAGACAAGAAATCTATCATCACTGAATATGTTTGTGATTAATTGAAGTTTGAAAAGCAGAAACTTCTAAGACTGAACTTTGGAGGTCTGTCTGCAGATTTCTTTGAGAAACTGAAAGTGAGTCTCCTGAAAAGAATGGAAGCTGGAATAAAGTTGGAGAGTGACTCACTGAACACTGAAACAAATCACTGAAACAAATTCTACATCATATTTAGTTGTTGAGGTTTTGTGGACGGCACAGGGTTCGATTCCCGGCCAGTGTGTTTCCTCCAGGTTCTCCGGTTTCCTCCCTCAGTCCAAAGACATGCAGTCAGGCTAATTGGACACGCTAATTTGCCCCTAGGTGTGATTGTGTGTTTGCATGTATCTGTCTGTCTGCCCTGCGATGGACTGGTGACCGGTCCAGGGTGTTTCCTGCCTTCCGTCCAATGACTGCTGAGATAGGCTCCAGCTCCCCCCCACGACCCAGAAGGATAAGCTGCTTAGAAAATGTGTGTGTCGAGGTCTCTGTTTTTCTCCTGACACTGAAAAATAAATAACAGTTCTGACTGGAAATTAAATAAATAAAGGGTGGGCTCTAACTTTACCACTCTATTTGTACCTACACTGAATAATAATCCACAGCAGATGCTGAAAGTAGCCTAATAGCGCAGGGGTCTAAAAAAATCAGGTCCTGGAGGTCCTCAACAATGCAGAGTTTAGTGGTTACTCCCCTCTAAAGCGCATTAAAATCATCAATAGCTTGGGAATTGGCTAATGAGCTGAATCAGGAGTGCTAATCTGAGAAACAGAGAACTTAGGGCTAGGATACACCGCTACATCACTGCCTGTGGAATATCACACTGTACTTACACAGCTTTGAAGATGAGGAGGGGGATAAATAATTTAAGAACATTGATGGAATATACAGACTGGCCACGTCATTTAGTCCACCTCCTTGTTTCTACACTCATTGTCCATTTTATCAGCTCCACTGACCACATAGGTGTGCTTTGTAGTTCAACAGTTACAGACTGCAGTCCATCTATTTCTCTTGTTAGCCCCATTTCACCCTGACCTTCAACGGTCAAGACCCCCAGAGGACCACCACAGAGCAGGTACTATTTGGGTGGTGGTGGTGTGGTTTGGTTGCGCTGGTGCGGGTGACTCAGACACAGCAGTGCTGCTGGAGTTTTTAAACACTGTGTCCACTCACTGTCCACTCTATTAGACACTCCTACCTTGTCAGTCCACCTTGTAGGTGTAAAGTCAGAGACGATAGCTCATCTGCTGCTGCACAGTTTGTGATATGGGCACTTTAAATGCATGTCTTTGGTTGGGAACAACCAGCAAAACCCCATTTTTCAGAGAAGTGGAAAACAAAATATAACAAAATATATTGGATTTTATTGGTTAATTACTGTCAAATTATCATCGTAAACTATCATTGCAATTTGTAGATCATTTTGTGTGGAAAAAAAAGTTGGTGAAACTTATTTAAGGGTTAAAACGCATCCTCAAATAATTCCATGGCTTACACAGCACTCAACTATAGCTTTGAAGTGTCTGTCAAGGCAGTAAGCTCTTAACAGCAAGGTCACATCCCACTGTATGATGGAAAAACTCTAGAGATGAGAGTCAGAGATGCAAATTGTTGACAAGGACAGCAATGTGGCATATTTGCTGAGTACAGGAGAAAGAGAGAGAGAGAGAGAGAGAGAGAGAGAGAGAGAGAGAGGGAGAGAGAGAGGGAGAGAGAGAGAGAGAGAGAGAGAGAGAGAAGAAAACGTGACAATAAAATCACCCGTCAGGATGATCATTCATGAATTTCGGATAAAGAAGACATCAACGATTAGCTTGTGATGCTTTTAGAAAATTTAAACCTGTATTAATGGAATAGAGCAATCAAACATGCTAACATGGCTAACAGTGAATGGATAGTATGGTGCAGCAATTAGCTTCATGTCATTTGACAGGCCATTCACATTCAGTCATTAGCCATGTTTACATGCAGTCTAATAATTCATCAATAATCCAACTAACAGCTTAATCGGAATAGAATATGTACACGTATACACTTCAATCAGAATAGACTAGTCTGATTGAGGCCATTCGGAATACAGTTTCTATCCGACTGAACGAGGTGGGTAATCCTGTAAATAACCTGTTAAATAGAAGAATAATATCCGTGTAAACGCCTGTATCTGATTTCATTCCCAATCGGAAAGTTTAAGTCCGTTCTGATCATGTTCGTCACGTCATAGTGAAAGTTTATACCGTTCAACATGGCGGAGCAGAAACTGGTCTGCAGAGGAGACGAAGTTTATGCTCTGATCTTTAAAAGACGGCGGTGGGACGGACGTCCAGCTTATGTGTCTCAAAACACGACGTCTTCCTCTCGGCCTTCTTTAATAATGACATGTGAAGGACGTTTTCCTGAGTCTGACATCATTTTAAAGTCACTAAAAACACAAGCACTGCTCACTGCTGCTCATCTCACTCTGACTGGACTCATGTGATGCTTGTTGTCATGGTAACATCTACGTTAAGCGGTTCTCTACGCATGAGCACAACTGTGGATCAGACTACTTGTAGTGAGCATGTAAACCGAGATTTTCCATCAGATTGTTGAGTAAAGTGAGCATATAAACACCTCTTTAATCTATAATCAGAAAATATTTAACCGGATTAGCAAAAATCTTTGCATGTAAACACAGCCACTGTTAGCAACAAGGAAAATTAGCTTTTTTAACTTTTTTAACTTAAAGGAACAGATCGGCCAAACACGCCAAGACGGCTAGCAATGAATGGATGGTAGGTACCAATTAGCTTGATGTCACTTACAATAATCATTTGCTTTAATTCACTGTTAGCAACATTAGTTTCGTTTCACTGAACCATTTCTTTCACCCTGGACTATGAATGGAAGGTAACGGGCATCGAAAAGGAGAAATTCAGGAGAAACTCAATAAGCTTGATGTTATTTGCATTGACCATTCGCTTTCACTCATTGTTAGCAATGGCTTTATTTTGCTGTACTATTCCTTTAACCCTGGACATCTGCTGTCCCCGTCAGCCCGGCTGCACACTGTAAAAGTGGAAGTGTCTATTTCGGCTGGCCAGGGGAATGCCTGCAGAGATTTCTCTGATCTCTCCGTCTCTCTCCTGTTATAACTCCCACTCGCACGCCCACAGCAAAGCCTTCCCTCAAGCCCAACCTGCCTCTTCTGCTGGGTTTAAAGTACCGTTTTGTAATCACTTCATTTTAAATGTGAAGGAATGTAGACCAGGGCCTACAAAACAACTGCTTATGAAGAATGGGCAACGGCTTACGTATCAAAACCTCCAGTTTTGTAAAAGAGAAGGAAAAATGTTCTGAATTGAACTTTAATTTCTTTTAACCTCTATTTTTTGAATACAATGATGTTATTCCAAGACATTTTGGACAGTTTATTTTGGTTCGTTCATCATGAAATATTCACATAAATGACAGCTGGGGCGCGTCCCATCTCTAAACGTTGTGCATTGTTTTGCTACGGTTTCCAGGTTGAATGACGTTTTCCCAAAATGGTGTGTAATGGACTTTGAGGTATGTTCCTCTAGTTTGATGGGTGTGTCAGAGGTCTTATCCAATTAGCAGCGACATGTATATAAACCCCGCCATATTAAAATGGCAACGTACACAAAGGATTCTACTGAAGTCTTCTACTAATGTGGCCACTGCAGCTTGGTGTAGACATCAATTGAAGGTATTAGAAGACATGTTTAGCATAAAAATTGTATTGTAAAGTTTTTTAATTGAATAAAGCTAGATGGACGCCCAGTGTGGCCTCTTCAGCGGGGATAGCTGCAACACCTGCCTAACACAACAGTGTTCAACGCACCACCGTTTTGTCAGGGCTGAACGCTGCCCTGGTGTAATTAATTAGCATAACGAAACAAACAGGCAAACAAACAAATAAATGCACATAAATGAATAAAAACAATTACAAATTAGCAACATAGAAAAGACATGAGGAAGAACCACTGACACTGAAAAGGAAAACTCTC